GAAATATATTCAGATAGTTTTCCCGCAAGTACATCAAATAATATATGTGTGTATGTGCGTGTGTGTGCGCGCGTGTGTACATGAGTATGTGTTCATATATACGTGTATATACACATATATGAGTGTATGTGTGTATGCGTGTGTTCTGATCTATATTATTAGCACACGAAGTTATATAGATTACTTATCGTGCGGTATGAAATACATGCAATCATAACCGCACACATACACGCATACACACACACATGCACACACACACAAGCACACACACATACATATATATATATATAGTAAGAAATTCTAAAAGTTTAAACTATAAAATTAACTGTGAGCCTGGAACACTGAATAACGTATTTTGAAATTATTGAATATTATATACATATATATATATATATATATATATATATATATATATATATGTGTGTGTGTGTGTGTGCGTGCGTGCGTGTGTAATACCTCTCGAGTACCACCCATACACAAAACCACATCTATATATATGTGTGTGTCCCAACAAGTGCTATGAAGTAAAATGTAATAACTTTAGATACGCACGCGCATACGGGCACACACACACACACACATATATGTGTGTGGGGGGGTATAAATACATATGTATATATACATATATATAAACACATATATATATATATATATATATATATATATATATATATATATATATATATATATATATATATATATATATATGCATGTATGGATGTATGTATATGTATATATATAAATTTGCACATGAATCTTCAATTTACATTCACTGATCTCTTTTTTTTTTTTTTTATAAATACAAATCATAAAATATATTATTAACCGTAATAATTTAATAGATTAAAAAAGCCTGAATATTAGAAAATTTCAGATTTTTTTCATAGTTTATGATTCAAGAAAATGACACACTCTCCTGAAAAGCACATCAAGAAAAGAAAGAAAAAGAAAAAAAGTCATTCTTTTACAACTTGCCGGGGCAATATATGCAGTTAAAAAAAAAATAAATAAAGTCTCTGTTTTTGTGGTCAATGGGACATGTCCGAAACATGTTTACTATGAACATGAACGAAAAATGTTTATTATATGAACACATATAGATGCTAATAAACAGTTATTTTCTTTTTGACAGAAACGAGAATGTATCGAAATGCAGATATGATGATAGAAAAAAAAAATACTCAATTCATAGAAAGAAAAAAATGAGATTTATATGATCAAATGAAGTTGCATTTTTACAACAAAAGTACGCGTAGGTGATATATAGATAAATATATATATATATATATATATATATATATATATATATAAATATATATATATATAAAGGCCTGTCTATATAGATATCTGAAAATTAATATAGCCATACCTCTATATAGTAACACTTGCGCATGATAAGTTATGTTTATATAAATGGTGTTAAAGAAATAGACGCGTTTCGACTTCGTGGAAGCCTCGCTCTCCTCACGCGACGAAAGCAAGAACATTTTTTTTTTACTTTTCCATCACACAGACGCACACACACACAAACATACACACGCACACACACACACGGGCATATTTCATTTCTCTCCTGTTTCCCTTCAAAGATCGCGCTCTTTTTTCTCTTCCACACTCGCTCCTTTCGAAGGGTCCCAACGCACGTAAAAGACTTACCCTTCGTTGATAATAAGGTCGATAAACATAGCCGTCGGGTGGACTCTACGACGCTCACCTTAAGCATGGTTCGTACTGATGTTAATTCTACTTCCCTGGGAAACGTCCAACTTTGCCTCCTTACGAAACAGTCAGCCCCTGATGACATGGCGTTGCCTTATCAGTGATTCTCTCTTCCTCACTGGCCGATTGTTTAGATTTTTGACTACGCACAGCTTTACATTGTAACACGAGGTTCGCATCTTCAAAACCCGCCATCGTTCTTATATTATCGTTAAATATCTTTCTTTTCTTTTTTTTTATTCAGTTGCGTGATTAGATTGAACATCTTATTCGAGATCTCTGAATTCTTTTCGTTTCTTTCCTTTTTTTCTGTCTATTTTTCAGAATTTTCTTTCCTTTTTGCTTCTAGACAACATTTCATTATTTCTCTTTTTCTTTCTTTTTTTTCCTTCTTTCTTTCTTTCTTTCTTTCTTTCTTTCTTTCTTTCTTTCTTTCTATCTCTTTTAGTTTCTTTCTCCTACTCAGTCCAACCTTTTCCTTCTTTTTTGTTCTGGGTGCTTTCTTTTTTCTTCTCTCCTACAATTTTTCTTTCTTTCGTTCTTGTAAACGTCTTTCATCTCCCGACGTTATTTTTTTATCATTACCTCTTTTTACATAATTTCTGTATTGCGTTAATTTCAACCCCTTCCTTCCTTCCTTCCTTCCTTCCTTCCTTCCTTCCTTCCTTCCTTCGCTTGCATTCAACTTTGAATATTTTTTAAATGAATCTTCTTAAACCTGTTTTCTTCGATACAGTTTCCAAAAGATTTCCCCATCCGATTCAAGTTTCCGTCTATTCCT